TCTCAGTTCCTTATCAACCGTGACTGTTGGTTAGAGTGCCTTGTCTTGCAGCGCAAGAGCGTTAGCGGTTCTTATAGTCCATTGTTCTGTCACCTTTGTATTTAGTTGATAGGTACTTAGTTAGACTATTAAGCTTAGTTTTCGAGTAGTAGTTTGAGTGAGAGTCCCGGCTGGGACTTCGCCTTGGAGCAGGCCATGCCCCGTTCCCCAGGCGTTAAGCCAATGCCCATTAGTGACCCCCAGGAGAGCTGTTTGAAGTGTTTGGGGGAGTCCCACAGAAAGGACAAGTGCAGGATCTGCAAAACCTTTCGCCCTTGAACTCAAGAGCAAATGAGCAGCCCCCCCTGATGACTTCAAGGAGCACCAGGCCCTGCTCAAAAGGGTGGCTGCCAACCTGAACTTGGAGGTCGAGAAGCTAGCAGCAGAGTTCAACGACCTCTTTAAAAAGTCATACGCTCCTTCATCCCAGCCCGGGTCACATTGCCCATCCACCCAGGGGTCCTAAATCTTTGTTAAATCTTTGTGACAGACCCCCTCTTCCATTCCACCTACCTCCAAGAACACAGAAAAGAAGTACTATGTCCCGGCAAAGGGATTTGAATACCTGTATACCTACCCTCCAGTGGGGTCCTTGGCCGTGTCCGCCGTCAATAAGAGGGATAGGCAGGGCCAAGCAAGTGGCACACTGAAAAATGAAGACACCAAGAGGCTGAACTTGTTTGGCAGGAAAATTTATTCAACAGCCAGCCTGCAATTTCAGATGTCGAACCATCAGGCCCTGCTATGTAGGTACAACTTCAACCTGTGGGACTCCATCAGCATGTTCAAGGAGGGCCTTCCACAGGACCGAGCCCAGGAGTTCGCCACCTTGGTGGATGAGAGCAAAGTGGTGGTGAGAAGCCCCCTCCAGATGGCCTCAGGGCCGGCTCTGGCTTTTTTGCCGCCCCAGGCAAAAAAGCCTCCAGCCGCCCTCCCCCCCCCCGCGGGGGGGAGGGCGGCCGGAGCCCTGGGAGGAGAGCGGCGAGCCCCGGCTGGGGCTCGCCGCTCTCCCCCCGACAGCCGGGGGGAGGGCGCCAGGGGGAAAGGCAGCCAGAGCGCCGGGGGGAGGACGGCAAGCCCAGCCGTGGCCCCCCTCTCCCTGGCGGCTGGAGCGCCGTGCCGCCCCCCTCCAGGTGCCGCCCCAAGCACAAGCTTGGTGGGCTGGTGCCTGGAGCCGGCCCTGGATGGCCTGGCACGCTATGGACTTGGCAGCCAAGGTAATCGCCTCTGTGGTGGTCATGACGCACAGCTCCTGGTTGCAATTCTCCGGGCTGTCTCAGAAGATGCAGTCTACCCTTCAGGACTTCCTGTTTGAGGCAGCAGGGCTCTTCTTGGAGATGACTGATGCATGACTCCATGGCCTTAAAGACTCATCTGCCAACCTCCGTTCCTTGGGCCTACACACCCCTCTGCAGACTAGAAAGCCATTCCATCCCCCACCTCCTCCGTCTCCATCGACATCCTGGGGTGTCCCCCGGTTCAGCTCCTACAGGAAGAAGGAAGAGACAAAGGGTTTAAGCTGTGGCACCCTTTGTCTTCCCATTCCTCTATCCAGCCTGGTTCTTCCAGAGGCCAAGGAAGCCAGAAGCAGGTGTTTTGAGGATGCACCCGAAGACAGCACCCCAGTCATTTCCCAGAATCCACCCTCCTTCCTGTTGATGTGGTTGCGGCTGACCTTGGACCGTTGGGTGCTCGACATAATATCTTCAAGCTACACCTGGCAGTTCATGGCCAACCCTCCTTCCCACCCCTCTTCTTCATCCCTCTTCAGGGACCCTTCTCATGAGCAACTACTCGTTCATGAGGTTGAGAACCTCTGTGCCTGGGGGCTCTGGAGGAGGTCCCTCCAGACATGAAAGGGAAAGGGTTCTACTCCCGCTATTTCCTAATCCCAAAAGCAAAAGGGGGCCTCAGACCCAAGTATCTCAAGAAGTTGAAGTTTCACATGGTCTCTCTGGCCTCCATTATTCCCTCCCTGGATCTGGGAGACTGGTACGCCACCCTCGACTTAAAGGACATATATTTCCATTTTCCTGGGGCACAGGCGTTGCCTCTGTTTTGTGTTGGGCCACAGCCATTTTCAATTCACGGCCCTTCAGTCTCTCGTCAGCCCCAAGAGTATTTACAAAGTGGCCAGTGGCTGCTTACCTAAGGTGCCGAGGTGTGCAAATGTATCGATATCTTGACGACTGCTTAATAAAGGGCCGATACCGGGATCAGGTTCAGTGTCATTTCAACCTGGTTTGCTCCACCTGTCATGACTTGGGGCTGTTAATAAATGAGAAAAAGTAAACCTTAGTTCCAGTGCAGCACATAGAGTTCATCAGAGCAGTCTTCGACTCTACTCGGGCCAGGGCCTTCCTTCCTGAGACCCGGTTCTGGGCCATGGCAGACCTGATCTTGTGCGTGCAACCCACCCTCTTACCACCGCTCATATGTGCCTGAGGCTGTTGGGCCATATGGCAGCCTGTACTTACATCGTCCGGCATGCATGGCTCCACCTCAGGCCACTATAGGCGTGGCTGGCATCGATCTTCGCCCCCAACAGACACACATAGGCCGTGTGGTCAAGGGCCTGGACCACATCCTGTCATCACTCGCACGGTGGCAAAAACCTGCCATCAGTTACCCTTGTCTCCGATGCTTCGGACCTGGGATGGGGAGTCCACCTTGGCAATCTCAGCATGCAAGGTCATTGGTTCTGTCTCAATCATTCCCTACACGTCAATGTCAGGGAGCTCAGAGCGGTCTGCTTGACCTGCCACACCTTCCTACCTCATCTAAATAGCAGGGTGGTCCAGGTCCTGATGGACAATACTGCGGCTCTGTTCTATATCAACAAGCAAGGCAGAACTAGGTCGTCTGCCCTTTTCCAGGAAGCCTCAGGCTATGGGAATTCTGTGTACAACACAACATCCATCTCATAGCCGCACACCTCCCCGGGCCCAGGAATGCCTTGGCAGATCACCTCAGCAGGACCTTCTCGTTTCGCCACGAGTGGTCTCTCCATCCAGAGGTGGGCTACTCCACAGGTGGACCTGTTCACGTCTAGGCAGAACAAAAAATGCCACATTTTCTGCTCCTTTCAGAGGTTCGACAGAGGCTTCCTGTCGGACACTTTCCTGCTTCTGTAGTTGGGGGCTCTAATGTATGCCTTCCTCCCAGTTCCATTGAACCACAGAGTCCTCGTGAAGTTCAAGCAGGACAGGGCGAAAGTGATCCTCATAGCGCCGGCGTGTCCGCACCAACACTGGTTCAGTATGCTGTTGGACTTCTCGGTGGTTGCTCCATTATGGCTACTGCTCTGGTTGGATCTGCTGTCACAAAACCACGGCAGTTTTCTGCATCCAGACCTGGCGGCGCTGCACCGGACGGTTTGGCTGCTGCATGGTTAAATGTAGAGGAACAGGAGTGCTTGGTTGGTATCCAACAGGTCCTGTTGGGCAGCAGAAAGCCCTCCAGCAGGGCAACCTATCTGGCCAAATGGAAGCGGTTCGCTTGTTGGATCTCAAATAAATGCATTCGGCCCAAGCGGGCCTCACTGCAGTTAATCCTGGACTACCTTTTGCATCTCAAGCTCCAACGCCTGTCCCTTTCAACTACCAAGGTCCACTTGTCTGCTATATTAGCCTTCCATCCGCCACTTGACGGTAGGTTGGTTTTTGCCCAGGACATGATTGCCAGGTTCCTCAAGGGCCTCGAGCGCCTCTACCCACACATCAGGGACCCCATCCCTCCATGGGACCTGAATCTTGTGCTGTCGCAGCTCACGGGACCCCCCTCCCTCCCTTCGAGCCTCTGGCTTCCTTCTCTCTCTTTCTCCTTTCCTGGAAGGTCGCGTTCTTGGTTGCAATGACATCTGCCCGCTGGGTCTCTGAGGTTAGGGCGCTTACCTCGGAACCGCCCTATACAGTCTTTTACAAAGATAAGGTCTAGCTGCGGCCGCACCCGGCTTTCCTGCCCAAGGTGGTCTCAGTTTCATACGGGCCAGGACATTTACTTACCTGTTTTTTCCCCAAAGCCGCATAACGAAGAGGAGGAGGAGCATAGGTTGCGTTCCCTAGACATCAGGAGGGCGCTAGCCTGCTACATTGAAAGGACCAAGGCATTCTGCAATTTGACGCAGTTGTTCGTCGTGGTGGCCAACAGGATGAAAGGTCGTCCAGTGTCTGCTCAAAAATTTTTTTCTTGTATCATTGCCTGCATTCACTGCTGATATGATTAGGCAAGGGAGCCACCTCCGGTGATCGTGAACACCCACTAAACCAGAGCGCAAGCCTCTTCGTCAGCTTTTCTAGACCAGGTGCCTATCCAGGACATCTGTAAGGTAGCCACCGTGTAATCCATCCACACGTTCACGTCCCATTATGCGCTTATCCAGCAGGCTCGGGATGATGCTGGTTTCGGTAGAGCAGTGTGGCAAGCCGCAAGACCATGAACTCCGAGCCCACCTACGAGGATATTGCTTGTGAGTCACCTAGAATGGAATCGACGTGAGCAAGCACTCGAAGAATTAAAAATGGTTACCCACCTTTTTGTAACTTGTTCGTCGAGATGTGTTGCTCATGTCCATTCCATTACCCGTCCTCCTGGCCCTTTGTTGGAGTTGCCAGCAAGAAGAAACTGAGGGGGCGCATGTTCGGCGGTATACTGATGCATGAGCGCAGCACTCAAGGAGGCGCCACAGCCAACGCTACAGATACCACTAAGGCAAAAGTCTCCGACTGTGCACATGGGTGCACACACACCTAGAATGGAATGTACATGAGCAACACATCTCGAAGAATAACATTACGAAAGGTAAGTAACAGTTTTTCTTTCTCTCTCTCTCTCTCTCTCTCTCAGCCTCCAACCCCCTACATCCCTGATACTTAAAGGTGCAGTATCAGGTCCTGAGATCTTAAATATAAACAGCAACATTACTTTTGTTCATTTTAAACATCTTCTATAATCTTTTTCAGAACATGAGGGTGCGGACAGTAAAAGGACAAGATTATTATTCCAAATCAGGGGCAAAATTCCATGGAAAAATGGAACAGAAATTTCTTCTGGTTGACTGTAAGAAAGTCATGTATGGTACTTACAGGTAAATTCAATACACAAAGCTGTGAATAGAATATGTTTCCTTAAAGGTAATCAGAATATGACTCTTTCATGATAAGTAATTTTGCTATTTCTGAAAATGGTCAGTATACTCGATGGTTAACTTTGATATAATTTATATTGTATATTATTTAATAAGTCTGACATAGAAGTTTTGTTGGGTAACTAACATAATGTAGGGCCAAATTTTGAACTCCTCATTCAGTATTTAGTGAATAAGGACTCAAACAGACTCAATTTGGCTTCAGTTCAAAGAAGTCAGTAAAAACAGAGGTCATGTCTACACTTACCGGGGATCAACACTGCTGCAATCGATGCAGTGGGGGTCTATTTAGCGGGACTAGTGATGACCCGGTAAATTGACCGCAGGTTGCTCTCCCGTCCACTGGAACGAAAAGAGTGAGGTAAGTTGATGCGAGGGCGTCTCCCATCAGTGCAGTGCAGTGTAGAAAGGGGCGGCTCCAGGCACCAGTGCAGCAAGCGTGTGCCTGGGGCAGCAAGCTGCAGGGGGCGGCGTGCCAGTCGCCGTGAGGGTGGCAGTCAGGCAGCCTTCGGCGGTGTGCCTGCGGGAGGTCCGCTGGTCCCGCGGCTTCAGCGGTAATTTGGCGGCAGGTACGCCGAAGGCACGGGACCGGCAGATCACCCACAGAAATGCTGCTGAATCCACGTGACCAGTGGACCGCCCGCAGGCATGCTGCCGAAGGCTGCCTGATTGCCGTGCTTGGGGCGGCAAAAAACATAGAGCCGCCCCTGAGTGTAGACACCGCAGTAAGTCGACCTAAGTTACGTCGACTCCAGCTACATTATTCACACAGCTGGAGTAACATAACTTAGGTCGACTTATCCCGGTAGTGTAGACAAGGCCAGAGTAAGAACCGCAGTATTTGTCCCATACCATTTAATTATTCTTACTTAATATTCTCCTTAGAAAAGATCACCAAGGTATATTTCATAAGCTCTCCTGTTAAACTTCTATTTGTAATAGTCCTCCAGATACTTGCATCGTTAATTTGTTCTTTCCTGTTTTGTGTTCTCCACTGTGATCCAAATTCAGAGGTGATAAGGTATAAGGTAAGATAAGTTAGACTCTCTTACACTTGGTTAGATTTCCCTTAGACCAACTTATATCTACTTAACAATATACAAATATGTGCAAGGGAGTGAAAATTGCCATAACTTACATATTGAGGAGGTAGAAAAGACTATAAAAATGTGGTAAGCTAAAAGGAGGATGGCCAACTTTGTCTTTCACATTATTAGACGTTTTTATTTGCTTTTCTTGAAACACTTCTCTCTTTTGGGCTCTCAAATTTATTTGCAGCAACATAGAGATTATGGGCTAGATCTTCAGCTGGTGTCTGATAGAGTTCTGCCAGTGTACACCAGCTGACAATGTGGCCCTCTATGCTTAGTGAGACTCAGCTAACTAAATTCAGTTGTGAAGTGTGCAAGGTGATGAGGGAAGTGCCAGGTTCAACAGTGAGTACGTATAAGAGGACGCAGAGGGAATCTGACTGGTTTGACATCTGTCACCGATAATGCCTTTGAAATGTTAGTGTCTGTGAGAATGTGACTTTGAAAATTACTATGTCTCAAAGAAAAGCATTTTAGAAAATTGCTGTTTTCATGACCAGGCACTTTGGGGCCTAAATCATCCATTTCTGCTGAAATTAAGCTTCCATTAAAAAAAAATGTTTCAAGCAATTATGGTAGCTAGGACTATCATATTTGAATTTGTCTTCTAAAAATTAGTTAAAACTACAGAATTTTTTAATGTTCAAAAGTACAGTATGCTCATTTAATAACTTCATTGAAAATGAATGAGAAATAGAACTGTTTTACATGATTCATTACGTTAACTTTTTGATGTAATTCTATTATATTTTCATATTTCTTTCCTGAAAAATACAAAACTAACTGAACAAATAAAATAAAAGAAGTAAGACATTTAAATTAACTCAACAATCCTTATTACTATCATCAGGACCAACAAATGGTAACATATTGCTCAATACTTTCACTTTCAGTTTTCTTTCGTTATTTTGATGCAAGGAAGAATGAGATCATAAAATAAATGTATATCTGTTACAAATGTAATCTACAAAATATGTAGTTTTAATAGTGACATCACGGTGTGGCACTTTACTCCTGGGGAAATTCGGTGTCAAAAATTCTGCACAGAATATTTTAAAATTCTGCATATTTTATTTGTCAAAATAATGCAATATAATCACTCTGGTTTCAATTATTTCGGTAATTTGTTTAAACTACAATACAATGGATGGAGAATGGGAGTGGGGAGCATTGGAGGAAATCCCCCAACCCCCTGGCCTACTAATAATGTAACTAGGTTTGATCCTATATTTCTAGTTATTAGTCAACAAATAAATGCAGCCATTTGCTCAGTGTTACATCATAAGCAACTGAACAGCAAGTGAGGACTGGGGAATTAAACTCACAGTTTATATTGGCTACTGACCATCTCCAGAAAGATCAGTAGCAAACAGTTCATGGAGCACATTTTGATAGGAAATTTTTTCAGTCCAAAAATTTAGACCAGTTCTAATCACTAAAGCACCGTAAGCATTTATAAGGCCGTACTGTCCTTTACACAACTCTGGCAATGTAAAGGAGCCTTAAACCTTTTACACCTTTTTTATACGCCTGGGGGAATTCACTAAGCAGGCAGGCTGCTACATTGTGCTCTGCCTGAGGGGACAGAGCCTGCCCCATGCCTACCTCCTCAGAAACACCCCAAAACCCTGCCCCTCCACACCAAGCATGCTGCAATAGAGAGCGAGAGGGACAGAGTGTCTCCCTCTCACACATGCACAACTGCCTAGCCCCTCCCCCCAGCGGTGATTTACATCTCTACTGGCGGTTCCATGTGCCTGAACCAACCTGCCTGCAATGCTGGGGAGGGGTGTGTGACCACTCTTGGGGCTTCCCTTTGCTCCCCCATCAGAAGTCATTTTTCTGCAGGGAAGCAAAGAAATCTGGGGGGGGACATGAATTCTGTGCAAACGCAGTGATGTAGAATTCCCCCAGGAGTAACACTTGTTAATCACAATGGCATTTATGCATCCATGTGACACAACATTTATAGTGGGGGTTTTTTGCATTTTTTGCTGATGTAAAGCTACCTTCTCCATTAATGCAGTTATTGGTACATCCTTCAACCATTTTGAACACACTACAGAAGAGTTAAATTTCCATTATCAAAATATTATGATTGTATGTTATGAAGAGATTTCACTATCCAATTCTTGGGGTCTACTGGAGGAGTTAATTTATTTAACAATTCCAGTGTACATATTTTTGAGGATTTAAAAAGTTTGTTAATGTGCTTTGATCTAGTCCTCTTTGAAATTGGATTACATTGAAGCACGTTAACAAACTACTAATGTATGGCAGCAGGGAGCACACAGACAGTTAATCCACAGCAGGCTAGAATGGGATAGATTCACATCCTAGCTTGCAGCAAAGTAAATGTTTGTGTAGACAAGCTCTTATTTATTCAGAACTGTGGAAAGACTTTTGCATATATTCCTAATTTACTATTTTCATATAATAATACAAATTACTTATGCATACTGTGGGCCTAATTTTCAGATGCGGCCTCTGAATTGCAGGGCTAATTTTGCACCTACAAATAATTGTACCTACAGTTTTACATACACTATTAATTGCTAGTGAAATTATTTGCACATGTGCACCTATCTACCCAATTTGTGGATGGAAACATTGAAATGTAAAGTGTTCGTAAGTACAATTAGAATGTTATGGGCCTAATGCAGCTCCCACTGAAATCAATGGTAAGTCTCCCACTGAATTCAAATGGAGTTGGGTCAGGCCCTCCATATCTAAGTGCCATGAATCATGCCCACAGTTAACTGCATGAATAAGTATTTGTGCATGAAAAAATATGCTTGCTAAATCAGAGAGTGGGAGGAGGCCCTCATAATAATGAGGCCTGGTATGATGCATTTGTCCAAAAGTTTTAGAGTATTGCTAATTGTAATTTGTTCTGCTTTCAGCTTTATGTGGTCATTTGAAAAAACCAACCTCAGCATGGTTCAAGTTATCACAGGACAACTGGTTGAATCCTTTGATGAAGAGTTTAGGACGCTGTATGCCCGTTCCTCTGTTCCTAGTTCATTTGCCCCAGAATTAGTTAGGGTAAATAGTCAGAGGATACTCTGGGAGAATGGCATATGCCAGCATTCACAGTCTTCTTTAGCTTCGGTTTCCAGCCAACGAAACCTTTTTGGTAGGCAAGACAAGATTCACAAACTAGATCCCATTTACTTGAAAACTCGAGGAAGATATGCAGTGAATGAAATAGATACATATGGTTTGAGAAATCAAACCTACAACAAACTACCCTTTCATCCAGGTTTTAACATGCAAAATAAAATTCGGCAGAATCAACCCAGTGAACAAAACGAGCATTGGAAGAGACATAGTTATGCTGGGGAAAACCCAGAAAGGACTCCTTACTTTTTGCTACACAGAGCTATTAATCGGGCCAATAATCTATCAAATACTAGGAAGATGCCGTCTGATAGCCTTAGTATTGTATCTTCATTAAAGGGAGGCTATACAAACAATTGCAATGCACCCCAACAAAGTTTTGCTGATCGGTTTGCACAGCCAAAGATAAATATTGCAGAAAGAAATTCAATTGTACGGAGGTCTTTCAATGGAACGGATAATCATATCCGCTATCTGCAGCAGAGGATGCCAACCCTTGAACACACTACAAAATCATTTCTCCGTAACTGGCGAATTGAGTCATACTTAAATGATCAGTCAGATTCTGCTGCAGATTGCAGTGGATCAGCAGTCGGTGATAGGTATGAGGGCTATGACACAGCGGAAAATATTAAAGCTCATGCCCTTTATTCTCATTCTCGCCTGAGGTCATCATTAGCTTTTAAGCCAACTTTGCCAGAACAGCAGGAAGTAAGCAGCTGTACAAGTTCTTCAAATTCCACTATCGTTGGTTCAGAGGGAAGTGAAACACCTAAAGGGACGCCCAATCATATCCCGATTGTGAAAAATGTGACCGACAAAGAATCAGCAGAGGTCAGCACTAACGTCCCACCTGACTCAGATGAACCAAAAAAGTCTGGAATGCAGGTTGCAGAAAACAAAAAACCTATTTTATACCCAAATGCCACTCAGGACCCATCTATCTACATGTACACAGCCTTCTATGTAAACAGACCGGCAGAAAATGTGAAGAACCACCAAAATGAAAATATACTAAAAAGGCGAAGTTTCCCTATATTTGACAACTCCAAGTCCACTTTGGATCATGGTGCCAACAAACAGGCGGCCAGCTATGTGTACAGCACACTGACTAGGCAGAGACTTAAGCGGCCAGAAAATCTAAAGCCCCCAGAGGATACAATAAAAAACTCTAAAAGCTTTCACAGTGTGACCAACCACATAGAACATGAAGAGAAAAATCTTGAAGAAGAATCAAAGAGCCCCACTACCACAAAGGCCATCTCTGTGGCTGCTCTAGCCGAAGATAGCAAAGAGGAACCTAGCAAAGAATGTACTTTAAAGAAAGAAAATAAGAATTCTCCAAGTTTCCTGAAAAAGGGATCCCAGAAACTGAGGTCATTGCTGAATCTCACACAAGACAAGAAGGAGAACTTGTCAAAAAACAAAGGCCCTGTGTTTTATAGAATGTGCAGCAGTTCTGACACGTTGGTTTCTGAAGGCGAAGAGAATCAAAAGCCAAAAATATCTGAGACTAAGGCTGATTCCTCTCCAAGAAAAAAGAGGACCATCTCATCCAATTCACAAGGCAGCTTGCATAAAAGTAAGGAGGATGTCACTTTGAGCCCACCAAAGTCTCCCAAGCCACCAAAGTCTCCCAAGCCACCAAAGTCTCCAAAACCTCCATTTGATGAAAGCAGTAAAAAGTGCCCTACTTTGTGCCCCCCTGAAAAGTTCTTAGAAACTCGAGGAGATGCATCCACTCCAAGATTTAATACTGAACAGATCCAGTACCAAGAGATGAAAGAAGCTATAACTAATGCTACCCAGGAAACTGCACCTGTTTCTAGTTCTCCACAAAGAGTAAGCACAATGACATCCCAGCCTGGAAACTCAAAGCACAAAGAGGAGTTATTAAGATCTCGTTTGAGTGAAAGACGTGTTTATAGTCGCTTTGAGCCATTCTTGAAGATGGAGAGCTCTGGTCAGCCAGCAAGAAATACACCCAAGAGCAGTACACACCTCCCAGAAACAAAAAGCAAAACCTTAGAGAATAACTATGCAAGGGGCAATCAGGTGGCTCATTACAACTCGACTGTATACCGTCCATTACAGCCAAATGAAAACAAGCTTCGAGGATTTATGCAAAAGTTTGGAAACTTACTATACAAAAACAAATAACACCTATATAGTCTGAGGACTGTGTGAAAAATAGCAAAGGCAGCAGGACTTTAAGTATTTAACTGACTTAGACGGATGGGGAGGCCTGTAAAGTTTACAAGGGTTTCTGCAGGGGTTAGAACTTTGGAATTGATGTATATGTTTTTATGTAATAAACCTAGAGTTATTATACTTCCGTCATTACACAAGTTCTGTGTCTAAAAGGTGTTTTAAATGAGATGTTTATAATGTTTATACTGTAAGATTAATTTGAGCTAGATACTTTCCCTCATTCAGAAAGTATGTAATAATATCTTATAAGTGTGAAAAAGAGGGAGGAGGTTTTTTAAACTCCAACTAATATTTTTTTCAAAAACCTGTCATTTAAAAATAGAACAATACTGGGATAAGTGGTCTGCTGTGTCTTTTCAGCATTTATGTACTCTTGAAAGTAATAAAAGCAGATGTTAATTCATTGTATGTTACTTAGCCATTTAAACTAATTTTTGAAAGCCTCTTACAGACTTTACCATGTTACTGATTGTCCACACAGACTATATTGAACTGTGAGGGTAACAAATGGAGAATCTCACTTATTGTACTGAATATTGTATGTAATTACATATCACCACAAACCTCAAAGTGACCCTCACACCAGGGTGTGGTGTACTTGTTTACAATGTGAAGTGGTTGTAAGTGTAGGGTGACATTTTAAAAACTATTGATGCATCAAGATTTATTGAAAGTAGGCTGCAATTGGAGTTAAACCTCAAATGTACAGTTAACTTTTTATCATATATGCCAATATTCCATAATGCATCCTTAGAAACATGTGCTTTCCTGTATTTTTAAATTTGGAGCATCAAGGAAGAAAATTAGTCTGTGGATTACCATTTCTCAGTCAAGTTTGTAAGTTCCCCATATAGTACCTAGCTTTAAATGTTAGCAATTGAATTTGCAATTCTAACTTAAGTAGTCCAGTTAAGAAAAGTTGTAGGCACTTATTTCACTCAAAACTTGAAGTATTTCCAAAGACTAAAGTAATGGAAGCAACAAAAGACCTTTTAGACAGACTGGGTGAAATTCTGGCTCCATGGGAGTCAGTGGTAAAATACCCATTGACATTAGTGGAGCCAAGATTTCACCTATCTTGTTTATAAACTCCTGTTCCTAATTTCTTCCTATTTACTATATGGACCAAAGGACCATGCACAGGAATGCTCACAGTTCACTTGACCAGCTTGCATTCAAATCATTTTTTAAAGTATGGAAACATTCACAAACTCTTTTCATTTGAATTGGTCAGTGCTAATTTAAGGATTTCTCAAATTGAGATAATCTGTTTGCAAAATTCGGGTGTTCTGCCAGTGACTTCAATGGACATTGGATCAGGAACCAACCATTTTATTTAACTAAGACATGAGTAATTCCCACTGAAGTCAATAAAGAGTTACTTGTATCAAGCAGTAAGATAATCAGGACCCCACTACTGTGCATAGTAAATATAAGAAGAGTATGAGAGAGACAAGGTTGGTGAAGCATATATTTTATTAGACCAACTTCTCTTGGTGATAGAGACAAGTTTTTGAGCTTATACAGAGCTCTTCTTTAGATCTGGGAAATCTTGTCTCTCTAATATCCTGGACCAACATGGCTACAACAACAGTTCATATGAGAAGAGTATGACACTGATGATTAATATTTAATGTTAATTCATTCACAAACATTTATTTTTAATGTCTATACCTGAACTGATTGTTGAGATGAGCACACCAGTGATTTCTGTATGTTATTTCCTTTATTTTAATGGGGGAGGGATTTTGAATAAGAATATTGTGCTGTTGAGGAGAGCAACTCCCATCCAAATAACTTTTTTAAATAGCAACCATATTTTCATGCAGTGATTGTTAATATTATGGAAAAAGTTGTCTTGAATTAATCTCACATTAGTGGATTGACAGAGAGGCCCTGATTATGATCTCACTTAATTTAGCTTTATCTGTATAACTTGGAACAAATATGGCCCACGGCACTATAGTATCTAAGTGTTCTACACTCCTGTAACCCCACTGAGTTATTTCTGATTTATACTAACATATAGTGATCCATCCCCTGTCGCCCATTCCCAGCTTCTGACAAACAGAGGCTAGGGACACAATCTCTTCCCATCCTGGCTAGTAGCCATTGTTGGACCTATCCTCCATGAATTTATCTACTTCTTTTTTGAACTCTGTTACAGTCTTGGCCTTCACAACATCCTCTGGAAAAAGAGTTCCACAGGTTGACTGTGAGTTGTGCGAAGAAATACTTCCTTTTGCTTGTTTTAAATCTGCTGCCTATTAATTTCATTTGGTGACCCCCTAGTTCTTGTGTTATGAGAAGGAGTAAATAACACTTTCTTATTTACTTTTGCCACATCAGTCATGATCAGATAGACCTCTGTCCTACCCCCTTAGAGGTCTATAAAATCATTCCATTTGAAACCTAAAAGAGATGTGACCCAAAGATAATAGGCCCTACCTAGCTGAACTCTGAATTTCCAGATGCAGTTAAAACAGCAGATTATCTTTCAAATTTCATAGACCAAAGTAAAATGTATAATCAGTGGTTGATTATACCTCCCTCCCAACAGCACTCCTCAAAAACTCCAGTGAAGGGATATGCTATTTAATTCTTTTTTTTTTAAACATGCCTGATTTGTTCATCGGCTACGTCAGAAACCTGCTTGTTCCTCCCCACCTATGGCTGTGATGGGAGTCCTTGAACTATAGTGTGCTGCATTTCATCTAGAACCCTCTCCTGTTCTCATTAAAATCACAATGGTTATTGCCAGTGACTTCTATGAGGCAGGATCAGGACATTTCCCAAAGAACAGTTTTAAGCAAAATGATATGTAATAACAATAACTATTATATAGTGGGGATGGTATTTACAGTTAGTGGTGAACTCTTGTGTCTCAATTGTATGTTGGGTCTTTCTCTTTCCCTCTACCAAAAGTTTTCAGTTCCTTCTTAGCTGAAATATTTGAGAAAGTATATGAATTGCTTCACTAATACATGCTGTTAGTTTGCCTTTTCCATGCTGAACTGGCATCGCTGGAGTGTTGAGTACAGAAAATGCCTCCTCACAACTCTAGGGGGCTTCCCAGTATGGACTCCTGTTACTCTCTAGACAGCAGCATTTTTTATTAACAGTACATTTTTTATGATCAGCAAGTTTTCAGGAGGGTGTCCCAATTATGAGAACTCCGCTGGAATACATACAAGCTGCAGAGCTGCTCATGGCCCTGTAAGTCAGGATTTGTAAGCATTGGAAGCTCATTTATTTGCATTCTCCTGCCCTAGGCAGCTCTCCAGCATACCACCATAGAATGTTCATATTTTTCCTTTTGGGGCTACCATGGCAGGTGCTAAAAATTGCAGTTCCCTGTGTGTGTACATACATGTAGTAAATCTTATGAGATATAGTTTGTTACAATTTTTGGAAAATTACTATTTCTTCTATCAAAGGCAGATTGCTAAGTCAAGAGAAAGAACATATAAACATTTCCAGTAAAATGCACGTAATATACATTTGTTTGCCAAATGTCTCTCTAGATGGTATGTCTCTCTAGATGGGTATGGTTGAGAAAATTGCGTGTGTGTGGGGGGAGAGAATAGACTACTCACCTGACATTCTTTCTCTACAAGTAGAGTACAGAGGGTGTAACATAGGCCAGGAAAAAACCTTCCTGTGTGAGTCTCCAATTAAAATACCGACAGGATACCACTACCAACATTTTATTTTCTTTACTGATTTAAGTATACACTGGATGTAAAACACCAAATATTTGCATGTGAACATAGTGCATTTAAGTGTCTGTTCTACAATGCCTGTTCTTGCCTCATCTAGCAGTCAAAGAGCTCAAAAACCTGATTGTTTCCCACTGATTATAATGGCCTTTGTATCAAGCTTTTAGAACCCAGTCTAGCAAAGCATTTAAGCATGTGCTTATCTTTAAGCACTCAAGTAGTCCTAGCATAAAGTTAAAGTATAAAATTAAGCATGTGCTTAAGTGCTTTCCTTTATCATGGTCTAAAGATTCATAATACTATTTGGGCATCAAATCACATATTCCAATCAATTGTTAATCTAAATATATGTTTTTTTTATTTACTTAGAGCAATGTCTGGATTTCACACAGCCAAGCTGTAGCCAGATCTGGATTTTATTGCCCCTTCCAAACCGCATGTAAATGGTAGCTATTGCTTCTGCTTTTTGTAATCTAGATGATGCAAAGGAAATAGACAGGATATTATACACATATACAAGCATCCATAATTGGTATTCTTGATTGCAAAGGAGAAAACAGAATGTACAAAAGTTTTGAAAGCACCAGGGAATTCCATGAAGCTAGGTTTTGGGCATGCCAGATTAATATGCCTGTTTCTAGTCTGGATTTAGTTTTGCACTGTTATTCATTATGTAAACTCTGGTTTCTCAATGGAAATACTTACATTACATGGTAGTTAATGCCATGCATATACTGTATATGTACAAATGCAAACCAAAATTTGTCATGAAATAATTTATTACTTTTATTATTTTTTACCAAATAAAATGCTTCTTTTAAAGCTTAGTTTCTCTAACACCTTTATTTACATTGATTTCATACTACTATTAATATTTCTAGTTTTAAATATCTTCATCATTTTTTTTAATTTTAAAAAACGTACTGACATAAAACAAATCAAGCAACAAATGTTGGTAATGAAAGCTCCAACCCTACAATTTAGTGCATGCTATGCCTTCATAGAGCCTCACTGATTTCCATGGGGCCTCATACAGGATCAGCAGTCTACCCTTGGACTGGGAATTGGAGGATGAAAACTTAAATCATTTCCCCGTAGAATATCAATAGTAAAATAGAGGTAGCAATAAAGGAGATAATAAGGTTACAAGGATCGGGTCAATTATGTCAACTTTCTGTGCTTAATTTCAAGGTCTTATATCACTCTGCTTCTACATACATCTCCAGCTTTGTTTCCTTTCATGTTACCTCTGCTTTGTTAATGATAATTGATATCCTCTTTTCTTCCTTCTAACACAGCCACCTCAGGTCCTATTCCATGCTGCCCCTTTCAAAATCTATTTGCCTAGCATCTAACCTCTCCTCATTTAAATGCTTCCTAAAAACTCACTTCTATCAGATTGCTTACAAGAAGTGTCTTCACACACTCCTCTGTGCATAAGCATAGACTTCCAACTTAATGTCTCATGAAGAATTGATTTTCAATATCCAAATATGTGCTAGGTGCTTTAGAGAAATAAGTAGGGAAAATA